GCACAAGCCTAAATTTATCCAAAATTTCAATTTTGAACAAAATTAGGTCTACATTTATGCTTAAAATAAAATGAGCTATGTCCAAGATTAATCTTGCCAATATGCAAATTAATAATGGATTTGACAAATGGGAGTTGGAAAAATGAATTAACCATCCAATGATAAAATTTTCCAACTTGCATACTTCTGTAAAATACCAAGATTACATCTTCCAATATGAAGATTAATCAAATTTTACTCACAAGTAATTGAACTTAATGGATTTTAATCAACCAAAACATGAAAAAATCCAAACTTTGTTCAACGTGGAATTTAGGGTTAGGGTTCCAATCATCTAAACATTTAAAGATTAGAACTTTAACATTCCTTGGGAACTTAAAATACAAAATCACAACAAGTTTTCACACCTTATTGCAATTTATTTGCAAAATTTGTGAAAAACAAGTTTATGTGATAAATTGGTATATCAACTTAAGCACTAATAAACATTCCATTATTATGCTCAAGGATATTTTAAAACCAGTAGATTAGTGATGCAAAAGTGCATTTAATCTAACCTTGTAATGCTTGCATTAATCAAGGCTTAAAAAGAATTAAAATTTCCGTTGAAAAACGAAAAACCCCAGAAAAATTGGGTTTCTGGTTCGAATTTGGCTTCTAGATAATCCTAAAAGGGATGAAACAGTTCCAGAATCTGGGTTCAACAGCCAAATCGAAAATAAAATCGAGTTTTAAAAGATAATTAAAACGATCATCTAATCTAATTAGATGAACATGAACCAGAAAATTAAATTCTTAAAAACACCTTAATTAAACAATAATTGCAAAAATTAAAAAGGAGCGTGGCTCCGATACCGCTGTAGGGTTTTGTAGTGACCCGACACTACGTGGAAGGAAACCCTCCAAGACCCGCCCCTTAATTAAAGCAATTAAACAAGCATAATAAACTTAATCAAACAAGATTAAGAACAAGAATTATACCTTTGAAGCGTGCTTCGCTCCTAAAGAGCTCTTACTTCAAAATCCCGAAAAGACGAGATCTCCGACGGATCGTACCCTCGACCCGACTCGAGCGTCCCAAGTCTTGAAGGTTAGTCAAGACCCGGACAAAATAACTACGAGTTTTACGAATCAAAGGTTTACTCTTTTCAAGAGTTGCCTATTTAATTCCACTCAAGGTTGTTTCAAATCCCAATACCAAGCTTGGTATTTATAGGGAAATGATCCCTTGATTTTCATTCCCCAACCAATGTGGGAGAATGTTTTATTTGCCAATTAATTTATTTCTAAAATAAATCAATAAATAAATGCAATCACAATTCAACAAGTGTCAAAAGGAGAGAGAGTGTTAGGCGAGGACCATGGAGAGGTGGGGGGGGGACCAATGCCTTGCTCCCCAAGGCTTTCCAAAGCCTTGGTCCCCACTCTCCTCACAAACCGCCTCACCCTAAGCTGCTGCCCAGCTGCCAGCTAGCACGCCAGCTGGTTGTGCCAGCTAGCCCAGCATGCTAGCACAAGCCCAGCAGCATCGTTGATGCTTGCTGGTGCGTGTTGGCGCTGGTGCTGCCTGGTGCCAGCATCCCACGCATCATCGCTGATCGCATGGCCCAGCATGCGTGGTGCTAGCGAGCCACGCATGCTGGCCTCTCGCCACGCACCGCACTCCCACACCATGCGCACCACGCATCTCTCTCGCACACATTGCCTAGCATGCGTGCTGCTAGCAAGCCACGCATGCTTGGCTTGACGTTGCTTGCTAGCTTGCCAGCCCCTCGCACACACTGCCACTCGCATCAGCCCGACATTGTGCACCATGCACGCACATGCCTCGCCCAGGCACCACGCATGCGCCAGTGCCTAGCACTAGCTGTGCTTGGTGCGTGTGGCTTGCCATGCGCCCAGCACTATGCTAGGGCTGCTATGGCACCAGGCCATCCTAGGGCACGCATGGTGCGCCTAGTGATGCTGCCTGGGCTGCGATAGTGCCCAACCATCCTAGGCCACGCATGGTGCGCCTAGTGATGCGCATAGGCCTGCGATGGGCTGCTGGCTTGCGATGGCGCCCAGCATCATGCTAGGGCTGCGATAGCGCCTAGACATGATTCCAGGGCTGTGTTGGCGCGCCTAGTGCTAGCGATAGCCAGCCATGGTGCCTAGCCATCACGCTAGGGCTGCGACAGCGCCTAGGCATGATGCTAGGGCTGCTATGGCGCGCCTAGTGCCTATGATGAGCTAGCCTAGCCTAGCTATGGCTACGCTCATACTTGTCGATTGTGATTTTGCGACGCTCGGTCTCGACGCCCTGGGCTCGATTTCCGACGTCTGTATTCGTAAAACTCTGTCGACTCATTGAATCCTTTCGGATTAATTCGTCGTCTCGGATTAGTGATTCGATTGGGTTCGACCCGTAGGGTTCAGCTAAGATTAAGCTGTAATATCAATTGTACCTCGATATTACTGATCGGAAGCGGCCTCCACCTAGGCATTCCGATCACTTGACCTTACTGAAGAATTAGCTCTGTAATAATTCTGAACCCTCTATCGGAAGAATACACTTGTTGGAAGGACGCCATTCCTTTCAGTAAATAGGTGTAACAAGGTAAGTGGTGTGTTGATAGGATAAAAGCCTGTTTGTGTGTACTATTTACGCTTATGTACTCAGCATTGCTGATTGTATGTTTGTATGTTTGTTTGGCTTTGTCTTTATATTGGCCCTACGATGACCCATTTCTAATGGCGAGTAGTGGGGACAAAGTAAAGAGAAGCTTTTCAGGTGATGAAGCATATTCATGATGGGCATGAGTGAAGAGCGATTCCTGTTTAGTTTCAATAAGAATGTGATGTGTATTATTTTCTTTGATTATTATATATTTGCTTGTGAGACTAACATAAAGGTTTTAATATTTTTTTTGGGTTTTGATAAGGGCCCTATAATGGATCCAAGTTGTAGGTTAACTTTGTTTGACTTTGGTTTGACTTTACTTTCGTTTGGTTTGACTTTTTAAGTTGACTTGTTTTGAATGGTTTTTAAAGTGAGTCTTCAGCTGTGTGTCTTTGATAATTGCCTTAGCCATTTTCACAGTGGCAGTAATGTCTTAGATTTTCCTATTTCGTGTTTTAAAAAAAGCAAAACAGGCATTTTAAAGGAAAGAAATTTCTAGGGTGTTACAAAAGACGGTCATGAATGTGATCGTAGACTCCGATATCTTGTAGTGGCCGGAAAACCATAGAAATCACCAAAAACTGGAATTTCCTACAAAATAAATGCCAACTCTACAAAACACTCGAAACCACACATTAGTAATAAAAATAGCTCCGTAGAACTCAATTATGCATAAAAATGACTATGGGATGGGGGGTAAAATAGCATACAAAATACACATATCAAACTCCCCCAAGCCAAACCTTTGCTTGTCCTTAAGCAAAGTAATGAATCAAACAAATAAAAACTTCACCCCAAATCCATTTCAAACCAATAATACAACTCAAGGCAAATCTAACAAACATGTCTCAAAATCAATCATTCAAATCCATCCAATTACCAATCCTTCCTAACAATTGTCAAATAGAGAAAACCACAAGAGCATATAGAATTCAAGACTAGTGCTCACGCACTCAACTCTCATTTATGTGGCGAGTAAAAGATGTACTCGATTGCTCTTTATCCCAACCCCTTATATGTGAACAATGCCCTCCCAACTCACGAACTCGTGTGTTTAAAAGACATACACTCAACTTAGTAGTCAACTCGGAATATGTCAAATCATTCTTCGCATTGGTAACAACTAATTTCACATTCATACATATGCACAAAGGTCGGAAGGTCTTCAATGCTTGTAATGTAAGGCTTAGGTAAAGGGTAGGAAATATTTTGGAAAAAGTGAGAGTAAAGCCATGCTTAAGGGAGCCAAATCCTAGTAACACCAAGGTTAAAAATAAATAATGACCAATCATCTCCAACTCAACTCAAATCTACAAAATTTCCCCAAACAAACCAACCAATATTAACAATATTTCCAACTCTTACAATTTCACTCATACAAATATGAAATTATAGAACTTGAGTGAACAAACAAACTTTGACCTATTTTTCTTTTGAACTTGAAATTTTTTTCTTTTTCATATTTTTCTGTTTTTTTTTTCTTTTCTTGTGTAACCTTCACTTAGAACACTTGAACATTGAAACATTTTTTACTTTTGCTCTTTTTTCTTTTTTTTTTCTTTTTATCTCACATTGGAAATTTTCAACTTTTAAACACGCTTTTTTTTTTAATTCTTTTCCAATCGCAATAACATAAGAACAAACAACTCCTCATTTTCACCCACATTATGCAAATTATGTGCACACTACAACTCCCTAACCTCACCAGCTATTAGCTTCTCCAAGCCAAACTTGGGACTAGTAACCAGTGGGGCTAATTCGGCTTATAATTTGGCTAAATAAACAAAGAAAGGGAAAAAGCAACAACATGGGTAGTAAGAAGGGAAAAAATGTATCAAATATCGTCTGAAGGCCAGGCCACCTAAAAGAACAAACGCCTTCGTCCTTCTCATTGTGCATAATAGTGAATCATACAAATATTACTCAAAGTGAAAGACCAATACTCAACTTCATTGACATACTAGGAACTAACACACATTCCTTACCAAATCAATTAGTCAAGCACTATATTCACAAGTAGTTAGGTAAAATTGATGCATGTTAAGATTTCAAGGCAATCAAACATCAAATCATGACCAACTAATCAACAATGTTCATCATCAATAACCAAGAGTCAAAACAATTTTTCAAACAATTTTCATCAAGGGGCAAAGGGAAGCATGATTTATCTTTTCATTGGAACGTATTTTTGCATTTTTTGTTTTTTGAAAGTAATAAAAACTGACCTAGAAAGCAATAAAAGAGAAAAGAGAGAAAGAGTACCATATGTACAAAATTATATCCCCCCAAGCCAAATCAAGGAATGCCCTCATTAACTTAGGAGTGTAGCTATGAATAGCTACTCATCATCATCATCATCCATCCTAGCATAGCCACCACCACCTCCATGGCTAGAACCGGCACCTCCATGACCCAAACCACCTGCAAAATAGTTAGGATCCACATTCCCACCTAACCCTCCTAAATGAACATCGGCCCCATAACCATGAATAGATGAATAGTCCACATAAGAACCATAAACATTGAAAGGAAAGGTGTAGTGTCCTTCGAACAAGTGTATTATTCCGATAGAGGGTTCGGAATTATTAGAAAGCTAATTATTCAGTGAGGTCAAGTGATCGGAATGCCTAGTAGGAGGCCGCTTCCGATCGGTAATATTAATGTATAATTAATATTACAGCTTAATCTTGACTGAGCCCTTTGGGTCACACCCAATCAAGTAACCGAACCGAAACCACAAATTAATCTGAAGGATTAAATGAGTCATTAAAGTATTACAAACAAGACGTCGGATATCGAGCTTAGAGTGTCAAAACCGAGCGTCGTAAGTCGAGTCGAATTTAGAATTTGACGAGAAGAGAAATCAAGCAAACGACAAAGTTTAAGCTAAGTCGTAACTTCGCATTGGCCTAGCCATGCGAAGGTTAGGTTAGCATAGGGCACCAACTGCATCGCATGGTTGTGCCGCAAGCCAAGAATGCATGTGCGTGCTAGGCTTGCTAGCCGAGCATGCTTGTGGGGCTGGTGCACCTAGTCGCACGGATGCTAGCAGCTGGCGCATCATGCGTGCTAGCGTTCTAGTGTGCTTGGCCTCGCACTCAACCGCAAGCATAGCAGCACGCCATGCGTGCGTGTGCTATGGGCTATGCGTGCTTGCGTGCTGGGCAACGCCTAACATAAGAATAAGCAACGCAGCAGCAGCAGCCCGCATGGCGTGTGTGGCCTGCTTGCTGTGCGTAGGCATATGCAGCCCGGCCGGCAGGCCTGGCCATGGTGCTTAGCGCCAGCCAGTCTGCCAGCCAGCATGTGCGTGTGCCAACATGTGCGTGCGTGTGGGAGCTTGGTTGAGGGTTAACTTGGGGATCAAGGGGAGGGTGGTCAACCCCTTGTGGTCCTCACCTAACCCCTTGCTCTCTACTTGACACTTGTTGTTTGATGATTCATTTGCATTTCAATTTGTTTTTGAATTAAAATAAATTGAATAAAATTCATCTTAATAACTCTCCCACATTGATGGGAGATTGGAATTCAAGAGCTCCCTTCCCTATAAGTACCAATCATTTAGCATTGGGAAGGGGCACTTGAGTCGTGAACTTTAAGGGATCTTCAAGAAGAGAATACCTTAGTTATAATACTCTAAATTCTTTTGGTCTAGCCCCGACTAAGCTTCGGGGTAGGGATCGTTGGGGTCGGGTCTCGAGGGTGAGAGCTGTAGGAGGCTTGCGCATTTGCGGAGCTTTACACTTTCAAGTACGAGCTCTTAGAAAGAGCGAAGCACACGTCAAGGGTAAGATTATCTTTTCTTCTTTCTCTCTCCTTGTTAATTAATTAATATGCATGTTTAGTTACTTTAATTTGTGTGTGAAGTTTGGGATGGTTTCATTCCGCGTAGTGTCGGACACTACGAAACCCAAAAAACATTTGGGGCGGTGTATCCTCCTTGGGGAGGTTGAAACCAATTAGGAAACATTGCTTCAGGTGGGATATCACCTCGGCGTGCATAATCATCATAAATGGGATATAAACCCCTCCCTAGGTTTCGCTCAACATACCCTACCCTTCTATCAAGGGACCCCACCCTTGTGCCAAGGGATTAAACCATTACTTCTACCCTTCCTTGCCCTCTCTCGATCCTATCAAGTTGGCCCCTAAAAGCCAAAAAGTCATATGGTGCATTAGGATTAATGTTATAGTCATGAGAAGAGGAAGGGATATCTTGCATATAAGGTTGGGGTTGGGGGTCAAATGGTGGGGGTTGAGGTTAGAATTGTGGTGGAGGTTGAGGGGCTTCCCGAGCTTCCCCTTCAATGTCAATAACATAGGTGTAGGATGTCTTACCCCTATCAAACTTAGTCATAGCAGAGTTGGGCAATTTGAAAGCTCGGTCTATCCTATTCGGTTCTCTATGAACTATCCACCATAACTCATTTGGCCGACTCACACCATGGGTGGGTTGAACCCAATTAAGCCCCCCCTAAGTAGTTTAGGTCCATCAAGGTGCTCCCATCAACCTTCCTATGGTCATTAGGCTCAAATCCCATCAACTTAACCGCAATGTGGGTTACTAACCCACCATAGTAAATAGGGGTTCTCGCCCTCAAGGTTTCGGAAGCCTTAGCATTACGTTGAAAATGTTGGGCCATTTTTAATGGGATGTTAAGCTTCACACACTCGGATTTCAAATAGGAGGCTAGGAGTTCTAGTTCATCCCCCCTAACATTAGCCGGCTCATGCCTCCCAAAGATTGTGAGGCCTACAAATCGTTGCCAAAACTTTGGCACGGGGTGGTGGATAATAGTGGCTTTGGCATGTTGGAGATTTTCTAGAATCTCCCTCGTAAGGGCCATGTATACCTCACCATTAAAATCCTTAGGTGAAGTGGGTGGTCTATCGACTTTAATTCAAACAATTTACCAAAATCTTTTAAAGACAACTGCACATCATTGTTTAGCAAACAAAATTGAACATGAAAAACATTTGATTTCGATTTTATCAAACTAAAAGTAGAAATAAACTCTATCGTTAGAAAATCATAGGTATCACAATGCATATCAAAGAAAATAGTCATGCCAATTCCCTTAAACAATTTCTCTACTTGCTTATCTATTCTAAAGTAATCAAAGTAGGATGATGAACAAAATGGGTAGCGATTACTTGCCGATTGATGAGATTTAGCATCCTTTGCTTTTGTTCAAGGCTAGTAACCACCACCTCTTCCCATCCTTGGATTTGAAGCTCCGGATTGACCATGGGCACCGGTGGTTGTCTTGGTTGCTCTCCTCTTTGCCCCCTGGATCTCTTTGAAGCCATTAGCTTGTTGATTTGGATGAACTTGAGATTTTCTCTCTCTAGGGTTTCCTAAAAATTAGAGAAAACAAAGATAAATTAGGTGGGAAATGTAGAGGAAGGTTAGAGGATTCAAAATATGGTAAAATTTTTGAGGATTTATGAGGAATTTGGAAGAGATCTTGATTAGAAGTTAGGTTTGAAGGTTTGAAAATGGAGTTTGGAGAGAGAAAGTGAAGATGAAAGAGTTGAAAGAAAGAAGAAAGTGAAAGAAATCAAAAAAGGAAAGTAAGAAGCCTCCGGATAAAACACGCGCCCAATCGGGCGAATGAGTTCTATTTTCGCTATTTAGTTGCGCGCCCGATCGGGCACAAGCTCAACACCAATTTTTCTCTCGATGGCTCGCCTGATCGGGCGAGCTTCGCCCGGGATTTCTTTTGAGATCACTCGATTTCTCCAAAAATGCGCCTAATCGGGAGAGCTCCCTTGATTTTCGTTCGTCTACTTGCGCGCCCGGTCGGGCGGCGTTGCGCAATCGGGCGGTTGTCAGCTTGAAAATTTCTTCTCCTTGCATGCCCGGTCGGGTAGACTCGCCCGATCGTGCGAAATTGCAGCTCGATCTTCGTTCATAAGCGCGCCGAATCAGGCGTGAATTTTGCATTTTGGAACCTCACTTGCGCACCCGATCGGGCGAGCTCCGCCCGATTGGGCCACTACGCAGTCCGAACTTAGCTTTATTTCTCTTTAATTCCCCTTACTTCATGGCTCAAAACCAGCACAACTTACTTCACACATGCAAAATTCACACTCTACTCACCTCTCTTAAAAAAAAAAAAAAAAAAAAAAAAAAAAAACTAGTATAGAAAGCATAAAATACGGGTTGCCTCCCGCAAACGTTAGTTTACAAAGGTCCCGCACGACCTTTTGTACCGTTTATAACGGTAGCTCCTTCATGGTACACCTTCAATTGTTGACCATTGACCTTGAATTCTTCACCTTTATCATTCAAAAGCTCAACCAAACCAAATTTATTCTCCTTAGTGACAGTAAAGGGACCCGACCACCTAGACCTTAACTATCCTGGGAAGAGCTTAAGTTTAGAGTTAAAAAGTAGAACCTTATCTCCCGGTGTGAATCTCATGGTAGGATCTTCTTGTCATGCCACATCTTGGTCTTCTCCTTCGATAATTCGCGCACTGTCATAAGCGGACAATCTAAACTCATCTAACTCATTAAGTTGGAGAAGTCTTTTCTCTCTCGCGACCTTAGGATCCATGTTAAGCTCCTTGATTGCCCAAAAAGCTTTGTACTCCAATTCCACGGGAAGATGACATGCTTTATCGTACACTAGCCTATAAGGAGAGGTGCCAATTGGTGTTTTGAATGCGGTCCTATAAGCCCAAAGTGTGTCATCTAGCTTCATGCTCCAATCTATCCTTGACTTAGCTACCATTTTTTCTAAAATTGATTTGATTTCTTGATTAGAGACCTCAACTTGACCACTTGTTTAGGGATTCTAACTAAGCCCGGTCCTGTGGTAGACTCCACACTTCTTTAGAAGGTTATCCAACTGTCTTTCATGGAAGTGAGAACCTCCATCACTAATGATAGCTCGCGGGACACCAAATCTTGGAAATATGGTCTTCTTGAAAAGTTTAATGACCAATTTGACATCATTTGTTGGTGAAGCAATGGCCTCGACCCATTTGGACACATAATCAACGGCCACGAGTATGTAACAAATCCCATTGGAAGATGGGAACGGTCCTATATAGTCAATACCCCAAACATCAAAAATTTCAACTTCAAGTATTCTAGTTTGGGGCATCTCGTGCCTCCTTGAAATATTGCCAATCCTCTAGCAAGAATCACAAGACATTATGAATAATCGCACATCCTTGAACATAGTAGGCCAAAAGAAGCCTAATTCATTGATCTTGGCTTCGGTTCTAGAAGGGCAATGATGCCCACCATATGGAGAGTTGTGGAAACGTTGTAGGATGCCATTCACTTCCCATTCGGGGACATACCTACGATATAATCCATCTGCACACTCACGAAACAAAAAAGGATCATCCCAAAAATAATATTTAACATCGTGGAGAAACTTTTTCTTTTGTTGATAGGACATATTTGGAGGTAGTATACTGCTTACCAAATAATTGGCATAATCGACATACCAAGGTCCCTGAGATACAACTACAAGGAGATTATCGTCAGGAAAGGAATCATCAATAGGTGTAGAGTCCTTACCTCCATCATACGTGATCACAAGTGATCTGCAACTACATTTTTCACTCCCTTTTTGTCTCTAATTTCAATGTCAATGTCTTGGAGCGAAAGTACCCAACGGAGAAGTCTAGGCTTGGTCTCTGCCTTGGCAATGAGATATTTCAATGCTGCATGGTCAGTAAAACAATAATTTTAGAACCAACCAAGTATGATCTAAATTTTTCTAAGGCATAAATCACAGCAAGAAACTCCTTCTCTGTGGTGGCATAGTTTACTTGAGCTTCATCCAAAGTTTTACTTGCTTAATAACTAGCATGAAAAACTTTGTTATTCCTTAGTCCTAGCACGACTCCTATTGCAAAATCACTGGCGTCACACATGATCTCGAATGGAAGGTTCCAATCAGGAGCACATATAATAGGGGGCCGATATTAAAGCCATCATAATCATGTTAAAAAACTCAAAACACTCGTGAGTAAAATCAAATGGGGCATCCTTGAGTAAAAGCTGAGTTTGTAACACCCCTAAATCTCCCTCTATGGAAATGCTAGTATAATACGTATAACTATACCATAGAGATAGACTTAGTCGTATTACCGCTGCGTGATTACGCAAGGCTACTCAAACAACTAACCAAAACCAATACTTTGCAGCGGAAACTCAAACTCTTTCTTTATTAATAATAACTATAAATAGAAATCATCGTCATGAGTACTCAAAATAAAAACCAAGACCAAAAATCCTAATTCTAGGTGAAGAACATTCTCGGGACTCATATACTCAATTCTTGACTCAACCTGAAATTAGTCAACACTGCTTACCATTACGGTAAACAGGGCGAACCAATACAAATAAAAAATACGGATTAGTAAAATATGCTAAGTAGGATAAGTGCAAGATAAGTAAATTCAATTTATTTGGAACCATGCTTTTAAAACCAATTCTAATAATTAATCCGATGAATTCCAAAACTCATGATTCAAAACCAATTCTCAACATTCTCAAAACAATTCCAATAACTCAATAATAATCAATAATAAAATCAATTATTTTGAAAACTCATCTCCTCTCTAAGTGTGCACACACCCCAAGCTAGTCTCCTACTATTTCGAGGATATTCTTGGAGAAAGACTAGGTCATACAAAGTCCATAGTCTTCAATGAATCTGCATAGTGGGATTAATATAATAATTATGCTTGTAAAGCTTTTTAAAAAATTCAATAAACCTCTTTAACTCAATTATTCCAATAAATAACTCAAACTCCTTTTTAATTAAATTCAACAAGCTTTTAAAATCAAACCTTTAAAACATGATAAATAATAATTTTATAAGTCAAAACATGATATAAAATCAATCCTCCAATTTATTTATCAAAACTACTAATTTAAACATGCTTTTATTTCATAAGTCATAAGTCATAATTCAATTCAATTTACTTCAATCATCATTAAAAAAAAGTCATGTATAACATGCTCATTCAATCCAACCAATTCAAAGGTATCTAGCCACCTAAACGTACATTTGGTCCTTGCTTAGCACACACAAAGAAACTTCAAGAACTTGGATCAAACACACCCTACAAATAAATATAACCTTAATTAATATAAGGTTAACAAATAATCACCACAATTAAATTAAAAACCCCCAACTATATATGCATGAACCTTATAAATTATTTTTCATAAATATGAATAAAAAGCTGATTTAATTTAATTAAAACTACTCATAATAATTTTTATAAATACCCCATAATAATAATAATTAATTAAATAAGAGAAGAAAAGAAGAAAAGGTAGAAAACCAAGAAAAAGAGGAGAAGAGAGGTGGCAGCAGCTGGCGGCTGCTGGGGTTGTGGTCGGCGATGGTAGTCAGCGGCAGGTGGAAGCCGACGGTGGAGATGGTGGCCAAGGTGATTGGTGGTGATGGCGACGCAAGAACTAGAAAAAGAAGAAAAAATTAATGAGAGATTAAGACAGAATTAGAGAATTTGGTGTGAGTGTTTAGCCATGAATCAATGGGTATTTATAGGATAGCTCATGCAATAATTATGGTAGGAGAATGTAGGAAGAATTATGGTAAAAAGAATTAAGGAATTACTTGGGGAAGAGAATTAAGGAACTATGGAAAGTTTTAATATTAAGGTGACTAAGAATAATTAATTTAAGGAAAGTGTGTTGTCATGAAAAATAATATGGCAAAAGAGGTTTACTTAGGGAATAATCAAGGATTAAATAAGGTAGTGAAATAAGATGATCAAATATTTAGGAGATGGAAAATAAAAATTAAGGAAAATAATAATTTTGAGGAAGATAATTAAAAATACAAATTACCAAAATAATTCCCCCCAAAAATCAACCAAGAGCGAGGGCCAAATATTTTGAGCTTCCCATAGCTCAAATTTTTGGACCTCATTAGTATATTTTAGGAAGTTATTTGCTAGATTTAAGGATTAAAAATAATTGTGTAAATAATATATATTGTATAAAATAATTAATTAAGAGAATACCAATTATTCACTAAATAAATTAACTAAGAAAATCAGATTTTCCGCACTAGGATTATCCGAAATTAATAGCCAATTAATGGGAATTTTCGGACCTCATAATTTAAATAATAAAATATAATTTTTGCTTAATTAAAATATCCAAATATATATAAATAATCCAATTTTTAAAATAAAATAAATGGATAATAAATCTTATCCAAAATCCAAAATAATAATTAACTTTTAAAATACGTTTGGCGCCAAAATTCAAATATCATTTTGGCTCCAAAATTCAAATATTAAAATAAATTACTTACATACCCTTTTTAGAAAATAATAATTAATTAATTAGAAAATATGTTTAAAAAATCCGGGTTATAGAGTTAGTGGTTTAGCAATATTCGAAAAATCCTTGAAGCAACAATAGAATCCTGCATGACCAAGGAAACTCCTTAACCCTTTAACATTCACTGGTGGGGGTAATTACTCAATCCCTTCTTCCTTTGCTTTGTCTACTAGTATACCCTTATCAGAAATAATGTGACCTAGGACTACACCTTATGTCACCATAAAGTGACACTTTTCTTAATTTAAAACCAATTTGCATTCTTAGCACCTTTTCAGAATTTTAGTGAGATTAGCTAAACAAACATCAAATGAAGAGCCATACACACTAAAATCATCCATAAAGACTTCCATAGTAGATTCTATGAATTCAGAAAAGATTCTCATCATACAACGTTGAAAAGTAGCAGGTGCATTACATAATCCAAAGGGCATCCTACGATAAGCAAAAGTACCATAGGGACATGTAAATGTGGTTTTCTCTTGATCTTCAGGGTGAGTTGGAATTTGAAAGAATCCCGAATACCCATCCAAATAACAGAAAAATTTATGGTTAGCTAACCTTTCCAACATTTGGTCAATAAAGGGAAGGGGGAAATGATCCTTCTTAGTGGCGGTATTTAATAAACGATAATCAATGCACATACGCCACCCTGTTACAGTTCTAGTGGCAATCAATTCATTTTTATCATTTTTAATCACTGTCATCCCACCTTTTTTAGGAACTACCTGCACAGGACTTACCCACTTTGAGTTAGAGATAGGATAAATAATACCTGCATCAAGTAGCTTCATGACCTCCTTTTTGACAACTTCCTGCATGTTAGGATTCAACCTCCTTTGTGGTTGAATACATGGCTTGTGATTGTCTTCTAGGTGTATCTCGTGCATACAAAAGTCAGAGCTAATACCCTTTAGATCATCAATATTGTACCCGATTGCCCTCTTATGGGTTCTTAGAACCTCTAGGAGTTGGGAAATCTGGGAATCATCGAATGCAGTACTAATGATCACGGGGTGCAATTCCTGCTCATCAAGAAATATATATTTCAAAGGCGAAGGAATAGGTTTAAGTTCAAATTTCTTTACCTCTACAGAGTACGATTCCTGTATTAAATTTTCTACTTTATCATTCTCATCAGGGCTAAGTTGCTCATTTGCTAGAGCTTGCTCAATTACATCCACCTCTCTACTCCATATGTCAACATCCCCTGCATTAAGATCACAACATTGTACTTCCTCCAAGGGATCTCGGGTGAGAACCTGGGGTAAGCTATCATGGCATATAATATCAATAACATCAATAGTGCAACATTTTTCCTCTAGCATAGGTCATTTCATGACTCTCCCTAAATAAAAGGTGATGTTATCATCCCCTATAGAAAGAGTGAGTTTTCCATTTTTAACATCAATTATGGCCATGCAGTATGAAGAAAAGGTCTACCTAATAGGAATTTGTGTATCTTCCTCCATGTTAAGAACAATAAAGTCAACAAGAATAAAAATTTTACCGACTCTGACGGGGACATCCTCTAAAACACCTAAGGAGTATTTAATAGAACGGTCGGCCATTTGTAGAGTTATATTGGTAACTTTTAAATCTCACATATTAAGCTTTGAGCACACAAATGAAGGCATGACACTAACATTAGCACCCAAATCACACAATGCTTTATCAATGAAAATATTACTAATATGGCCAAGTACAGAAAAACTACCGGGATCCTTTAACTTAGGTGGAGACTTATTTTGTAGTAGTGCAATACATTCTTCAGTAAAAGCTACAGTCTCTACCACATTAAAGGCTCTCTTCCTAGTCAAAATATCTTTCATAAATTTAGCATATGCAGGAACCTGTGTAATTAAATTTGTGAAAGGAACTGTTACCTGCAAATTCTTAACAACCTCTAGGAACTTACCAAACTGCTTATCCAACTTATTATTTAGGTGTCTATTTGAGAATGGAATTTTGATAGCAGGGCTATGCACATCTCTAGCCTTATCTTGAGTTTTACCCTGCAAAGTATTATTAGAAGAGTTAGTTTTACCTTAGGGCCCTACAAGGCTAGTAACAACAGTATTTGGTATAACAAAATCAGGATTAGCAATTTTTGTAATTATAGGTTCATCATCTTTGGGCATAGGGGGCCCATCATTATTTGAATCACTTCTAAAAGTAATTTCATTCGCGTGATCTATAGGTTGCACTGGCTGTGCTGGCAAGGCTCCTGGTTGGCAATTTTGCAGGGTAGAGGAAAGTTGCGCAATTTGAGTATCTATCATTTTATTATGTGCTAGCATTGATTCAATGTAACACCCCAAATCTCCCTCTATGGAAATACTACTATAATACGTATAATTATACCGTAGAGATAGACTTAGGCGTATTACCGCTGCGTGATTACGGAAGGCTACTCAAACAACTAACCAAAACCAATACTTTGCAGCGGAAACTCAAACTCTTTCTTTATTAATAATAACTATAAATAGAAATCATCGTCATGAGTACTCAAAATAAAAACCAAGACCAAAAATCCTAATTCTAGGTGAAGAACATTCTCGGGACTCATATACTCAATTCTTGACTCAACCTGAAATTAGTCAACACTGCTTACCATTACGGTAAACAGGGCGAACCAAAATAAATAAGAAATACGGATTAGCAAAATATGATAAGTACAATAAGTGTAAGATAAGTAAATTAAATTTATTTACAAACATACTTTTAAAACCAATTCCAATAATTAATCCAATGAATTCCAAAACTCATGATTCAAAAACAATTCTCAATATTCTTAAACCAATTCCAATAAATCAATAACTCAATATTAATGATTATTAAAATCAATTATTTTCAAAAACTTAATCTCTTCTCTAAGTTTGCACACCCCACAAGCTAGTCTCCTACTATTTCAAGGCTATTCTTGGAGAAAGACTAGGTCATACAAAGTCCATTAATAAGTATCATTTATAACATATTTTAGGGCGTTTTTCTCCCTTAGTTTTAGGTTCATTTTGGTGTTTCTTTGTTATTTCTATTCCTTTTAGTCTTTTTTTTAGTTACCTTTGTCTTAGTTTATGGTTTTAGGCCTTAGTTGTGAATAATATGCTTTTTGCTCGGTTTCTAGCTTGATTTGCGTGTTTTTCTATGTGTTCTTTCACTCTTTTCTCTCTTGGTCTATTTGTGTAGGTGCTTGATGCTTTATTCGATGCTTATGACCCTAGAAATGGAAAGAAATTTCAACAGAAGAAGCTTGAAGCTAAGAAAGAAGCTAAGAAGCTTGAGGCAAGAAAGCTTGAAGCTCGTAGAAGGCCTTAAACCGAGTCTTGTTCACTCTTTCAATCATAACTTTTATCTACACATTGGATTGAGACAATTCAAATAGCATTGGATACTAGATTTGAAAAGCTTTCCAACGGTAGGTCGCACACCCCAAGAGGCCTCCTATAACAGAAGTTATGGCTGTTTGAATCTGCAAGACACTGCCAGGCTGCGCAGCCGCCGCGGCGCGGCGCTCTGTTCTTCCCAGATGTTGCAACTTTCTGGAGATGCCTCGGAGAAGCCTTGCCACGGGCGCGGCTTTGGCCACCGCAAGCGCGGATTCTGGGTCTTTTTCGAGCTTAATTTCCGGATTTCTTTCTTTCTCTTCTTGTAATATAAATAAAGGACTTCTTAGACTTCCTTAAGACAAATTTTACATTTCCTCTCTCCTCTAATTAGGATTAGGGTTAGATTAGAGTTTTCTCTCTCTAGTTTAGGAGTAGTTTTAGAGAGAGAAAGCTTGGATTTCGATTGAGATTTGAGAGCTTGAAGAAGCGATTTTGTGGATTCTCTTCTCATCTATTCAATGAGCTTTTCTAAATTTCTCTCACCTTTATTGCTTTGTTTAATTCTTGTTTTTGCTTATTTCATTGTTGATTAGAGTAGTTAATTAGTTTATTTGTTTGATTCTGTGCTTTAATCCTAGTTTTACCTTGTTTTCCATGTTTTCCTTCATTATGTTTGCTTAGATTTTATTCTAGGGAAATGGATGAAGGTTATGTTGATGAATTGAGTGATTGGTTGTGATTAGTAAGCAAATGATTCTTGATTATTGTGTTTGGATGATGCTTAGGTTGACTAGAATCTTTTTAGCTAATTGATTCTTGGTTCTTAATTGTGCTTTCAATCAATTGTGCGGAAGTGAGTTGATTGAGAGTCTAGATTCTTCCATACCTTTGCTAGGCTAGTTGCGCGGGAGTGAATAGCTTAGTAGGATAATTAGCGTGCTTAATTGCGCGGGAGTGAGTTGAGTGTGTTAATCGTTCCTAATTGAGATCATGATCATCTAATTGCGACTTGTTATTGAATTCATTAATGTAATTTGATTCCCCTTTCCCTAATACCTTGTTAATTGCTTTAAGTAGTGTTTTAGTTGTTTCTCTCTCTATCTCACAACCCTTCCTACTAGTTTAATTAGCTCAAATTAATACACTTAGACCTTGTGGTTTGACCCTAGCTTGCCACTATCTAGTGTAAACTTGAGAGAGTTAGGTTAGGAATTAAATTATAAATTTGATCTAGGATAGTAGACTATTGGGATCTATTGTCCCCCGATCATCCATAGTCTTCAATGAATCCGCATAGTGGAATTAATATAATAATTATGCTTGTAAAGCTTTTTAAATAATTCAATAAACATCTTTAACTCAATAGTTCCAATAAATAACTCAAAACTCCTTTTTAATTAAACTCAACATACTTTTAAAATTAAACCTTTAAAACATGATAAATAATAATTTTATTATTCAAAACATGATATAAAATCAATCCTCCAATTTATTTATCAAAACCCCTTATTTAAACATGCTTTTATTTCATAAGTCATAATTCAATTCAATTTAATTCAATCATCATAAAAAAAACATGTAAAACAATGCTCATTCAATCCAATCAATATCAAAGGTATCTAGCCACCTAAACGTACCTTTGGTCCTTGCTTAGCACACACAAAGAAACTTCAAGAATTTGGATCAAACACACCCAACAAATAAATATAACCTTAATTAATAAAAGGATAACAAATAATCACCACAATTAAATTGAAATCCCTTAACTATATGTAACGATCAAGACTGGTAAGTCCGTCGGTCCATACAGTTGTCCATGTACCAGTAGAAGATTCAGCAGCTACTGCAGCCCCCGCTTCTTCGGGTGGAACTCCCGGTTGAGGACTTACTCGGAATGCTGCCAAGATATCAGTATCTTGGGTTTCATACTCAGGAGTATAATAAGTCAATTTGTAATCTTTAACACCAGCTTTAAATCCAACGCTTGCTTTAGTCTCTGTTTGTGGTGACATAAGTCCCTCCCAACAACTTCAATTTTTAATTTTTACAACAAAGCAACAAGGTCTACTCGACATAAATTAGGCCCTAATGAAACCTTTTATAGGAATCTTTCATAAAATTCTCAATTAATATTATCAACTAATAAAAAAAAACGATTCGTTAATAGACCATGTATTTGATTTGTCAAATACATCATTATTGTATACTCTTTCATATATATGGCGCAACCCAATCGTAACCGTTGTTTTTCAAGTTTCTAATTTTGTATCCCCATTTAAATTGAAAGAACTAAAAAATTCGAAATTGACTCTTGACAGCGGTATATGTTGTATATGTATATCCTAGATGTGAAAATAGGCAGAATTCCATCATGAAAGGGTAAAAGAATAGGCTAGATATAAATCTATCTACTAAATCCAAACTAAGTCCCAGTGCGATAGAAATAAGGAATCATAAAAAAATAGAGTTTTAGAGTTCGGGTTCGATTTCCATAGATAATACAGAAAGGATTGTCTATAATGATAGGCAAATAAAAGACTTTCTTAGGATTGTTATTTAATTGAATACAATAATTCAAAAACGTAAAGTAAGCAATTGAATTGCAGTCCTTTTGTTGGTACCGGCAAAATGGATTGCTAACTCCAATTTCTTTTTTAATTAATCGATTAGCTTGCTTTCGGACATTTTTTTTTGGATTCGATAATTTTCATTTTCGCAAAAAATTTCGACATACTTTATATTATGAGAATCAATCCTACTACTTCTAGTCCTGGGGTTTCCACACTTGAAAAAAAAAAACCTGGGGCGTATCGCTCAAATTATTGGTCCGGTACTGGACGTAGCTTTTCCTCCAGGAAAGATGCCCAATATTTACAATGCTCTAGTAGTTAAAGGTCGAGATACTACTAGTGAACCAATTAATGTTACTTGTGAGGTACAACAATTATTAGGAAATAATCGAGTTAGGGCTGTAGCTATGAGTGCTACATATGGTCTAACGCGAGGGATGGAAATTATTGACACAGGAGCTCCTTTAAGCGTTCCAGTCGGGGGAGCGACTCTCGGTCGCATTTTTAACGTGCTTGGAGAGCCTGTTGATAATTTGGGTCCAGTCGATACTCGCACAACATCTCCTATTCATAGATCTGCGCCCGCCTTTAAACAGTTAGATACAAAATATTCTATTTTTGAAACAGGAATTAAAGTGGTAGATCTTTTAGCCCCCTATCGTCGTGGAGGAAAAATCGGACTATTTGGGGGAGCGGGAGTGGGGAAAACAGTACTCATTATGGAATTGATTAACAATATTGCAAAAGCGCATGGGGATGTATCCGTATTTGGCGGAGTAGGTGAACGTACTCGTGAAGGAAATGATCTTTACATGGAAATGAAAGAATCCGGCGTTATCAATGAACAAAATATTGCAGAGTCAAAGGTGGCTTTAGTCTACGGGCAAATGAATGAACCGCCAGGGGCGCGTATGAGAGTTGGGTTGACTGCCCTAACTATGGCGGAATATTTTCGAGATGTTAATGAACAAGACGTACTTCTATTTATCGACAATATCTTCCGTTTTGTCCAAGCGGGATCTGAAGTATCTGCCTTATTAGGTAGAATGCCTTCCGCTGTAGGCTATCAACCTACCCTTAGTACCAAAATGGGTACGTTACAGGAAAGAATTACTTCTACAAAAGAAGGTTCCATAACTTCGATTCAAGCAGTTTATGTACCTGCGGACGATTTGACCGATCCCGCTCCTTCCACGACATTTGCACATTTAGATGCTACTACCGTACTATCAAGGGGATTGGCCGCTAAAGGGATTTATCCAGCGGTGGATCCGCTAGATTCAACGTCAACTATGCTCCAACCTAGAATTGTTGGCGAGGAACATTATGAAATTGCGCAAAAAGTTAAGGAAACCTTACAGCGTTACAAAGAACTTCAGGACA